TCACCGAAGTGGAGCTTCCAATAGCTCCCGATCATACCTCTGTATGATCTAATCCCTCACGGGACTATGTCGTGTGTATCGCATTACCACGAACTATTCCACCACGATCCGCTACACCATGTCGCCTCCTGGTGACATCTCCATTGCATTCTGATCCTTGTGGGATGAACTCGAATTGTGATCCCTCCATGTGTGGCCTATGCCAATATATCGCAGGGTCTCTTCCACCTTCGATTTTGTTCGCTCCTTTGGCAATCGACCTTCATCCACCCACTCTAGGGTCACACCTAGATGAAGCATCGCTCTAGGACAGTCCGTCGCCTAGTAGCTCCCGAAGTCCATCGACTTCGCTGAAAGTGGTGCACCATTGTCTGGATCCTGGGCCTCTGCCTCTACCAGCACAATCTCCGCTGCGCACCGCTTCCTTCATGGCAACTTGAATGGCAACACTGTGGCATATTCTTCAAGAGTACCCGCCTCCGCGTCCTCTTGCCCCGTGCCAAGGCCTTTTGAACCCAACTTCGCCTCCGCAAGTTGAGTCGCCTTAGTTCTCCATCAAATGCTTATCCGAGATAAGGTGCATGTGCCCAGAAGCTCCCTTCGTCTTTGACACTATGCAAGATGAGTCTGCTCCGTCAGAATAAAGGACCCATGGAACAACATGATCCTGCTCATGCCTCTGCAAGAGTTCATGTCCTTGACCTCTGTCCAAGGAAAGCTCTGTGCCTCCACTCCATGTTCCATCTTCTATGCTGGCTCCCTTCATGCGGCTTAGGTACTTCGCCAAGTTACACCCAAGTTGCTCCCTCCTCGTTTTGCATTGAGTTGATGGTGGTCCTCGCGCCCACCATTCCACGGGTCAGCCCTCCCTTGAGTCCGATCTCCATATCGACTCCAAGTGTGCCTTCATTTGTGTTGCTTTGGTTTGCTCCCCCTACTTAATCTCACAATGCATCCACCAATGCATCCTCTCAAGCGAGATCATGCGACGACTCCTCATCGCTCGCTCAGTCCATTAAGCTTCATGGAGTTGTTGTTTTTTAGGTACTCCACCTCAACATATGTGATCTGTTGCACATGATTCTCCCTCTGGAGAATCGGGACCTATCCCTCCTGGATATATGTCCTG